ATTATTTCTAGGTATAGCCCCCTTCGTGTCTCATTTCTGACACCCACCAACAAAGACTTTCTCGAGAACTCGCATGACAAAGAGAAATATGAATCCCCTCCCCTTCAATTGTCTCTCATTTGGTTGAGTTCTAGATTGAGCTTCCTAGCAACAAGAGTCTCTCAGAATTCAGAAGGACATGGCAACAACCCCAGATTCCTCTTCACTCTGGCTCCTTTATCTCTATCAAACTTTCTTGCTACTTACTACTCAGTATAAATAGCCCTGACTTCCTTACCCTCATTGATTGTTCAATGTGAATAAGACTAATTTCCTTACTCCTTACTCCCATTCTATATGTTCCCCATATACACTATGCACTTTGCTCATACCACTATCCTGGTCTCAGTTTGTTTCAACATTGAACCACACTGTGGAACACTTGAAGGGCTTCAAGTTCCCGAAAAAAAAAATTGAGCCCATTTAAAAATCATTCTCACAGACACCCAGACATCAGCATTCATCTGTATCTTCATTCCTTGGGCAACGACTGAGAGACATTGCATATCTGCAGATGAACTTTTTTGCCTGCCCCACTCCACTTTTATCACTAGTTCTTAAGGGACCAAACTTGATTTGATGGTTTTCATTGTCTGTATTATTTTGCTAGGGCTGTCATAGCAAAGGAATATAAAATATGTATCCTGAAAAAAAGGAAAGAAATTTACTCTATGATAGTTTCTAGAAGCCAGAAGTTCAATATCATGCTATCTTCACGCCCCTAGTGCCTCTAAAGTTGTTAAGGAATGATTTAGTTCAGCCTTCTCTCCCAGCTTCTGATCTGCAGCCGCATAATTCTAATCTCCATTTACTGTTTTCCCTGTGTCCAAAATTCCCCCTTTCATAGGGGCACCGAATTACATCAGAGAACATGGATGCTAAGTAAAAAGCTATCACAAGAGACACAGGAATTCATTATGTAATGAGAAAAGATTGATTCATCAGAAAGATATACGACAATTATAAATATCTCTGTGTACAACATCAGTGCACCTAAATATCTGAAACAAATATTGACAGGTCTGAAGAGAGACATAGACAGCAATATAATAATAGTAAAAGACCTCAATACCCTGCTTTCCATTGTGGCTGTAATATTATACATATAGTTCATATATAAATAGCACATGTGAACAACACTATAGAATAAAGAAACCCATAAGACATGAACAGAACATGCCACCCAGCTGCAGTGCATACACATTCTATTCAAGCAGGCAGAGAACATGTTGCTGGACTGATCACATGTTACATTCCAGAAGAAGTCACAACAATTTTAAAAGATTGTAGTTACATTGTTAAGTATCTCTTCTGAACAAAATGGAATGAAACTAGAAGTCAACAGTCGATGGAAAACTGGAAAAATCCACAAATGTGTAGAAATTACACAATGCACCATCGCACAACCAATGAGTCCAATGTGAATAAAGGGAAACATTTTAAATATCTTGGTTCAAACAAAACCAGAACATTCCAAATCTTCTAAGATTCATCAAAAGCATCTTGTAAGGGCAGCTGATAGCAATAACCCTCAAGGAACAGGGAAATAGGAAAACTCTAAGTCCAAGTAATCAGAATGAAGGACATCACAATTATTAGAACATAAAAAATAAAGTAGTAAAAAAATCAATAAAGCTAAGAATTTTTTTTTCTTGTACAAATAGGAAAAAAAAAATCAATCAGCTCTTTAACACTGGGCTCGGTGGAACCTGCCTGAAATAATAGCAGCTTAGTAGGCTGAGGCAGGAGAATTGCAAGTTCAAATGCAGCCTCAATAACTTAGTGAGGTCCTAAGTAACTTAGCAACACTTTGTCTCAAAATAAAATATAAAAAGTAGTAGGAAGTTACTCATTAGTTGAACACCTCTGGCTTCAATCTCTGGTATCAGACAAACAGACAACAAACCAAGAACATCTTTTAGCTAAACTAACAAAAAAATGGAAGAGGCTCAAATAAAATTAGAAATGAAAGAGAAGACATTTCAACAGATGCTTCATCAAGAGTTGGCTTCTTCATCTTGCTTTCTTGTGTTCTTTTTTACTATGTGACCTCTTCCACACGTGTCACTGGCCACTCTTGAAAATACCTGCTGCATGATGCCATGTGCCACGTTGTGTTGCTGTCAGAAAGGCCTCTGTAGCGGCTTACGTGAGGGAGCTGGTTTGGGACTTTTAGCCACCCAAACTGTGAGCTAAACTGCATTTATTTATAATTTGCCCAGCCGCAGATATTTTGTTATAGCAATCCACAATAGACTAAAACAGTGGGATATTAAAGAACTGACCTGTTTGAACCAGATTACTCTGTCCAGGAAGTCTTTCAAAAACAGTTCCGTCTATGGGGCCACTTCCATGAGTGAGCAGCAGTGGATGCTGGAGGATAATCCACGACCGTTTGTTTAGTGGTCCAAAGGACTTCAGCATGCTGTTCATGCAGCTTCCCCTTTTACTGGCCCTGTGTCTACATTCTTCCTAACATGTTTATCATTTAAGGAGACTTGGTGCAAAAATAATTCACAATCGGAAAGCAAGACAGGAGAGAAAAATCTTGCAATTACATTTAATTTTAAATGCTTAAACAGGTCACAACCTATTAAGTATGGGATCATTATTTGAATTACATAAAATATTTTTATTTGTTTTATCAAATGCTTCTAGTATGAGTCTCAGCAAAATATGCAGGGCCCCCTCTTTTATGTAAAAGTTGCATTCTCAGCCTCCCTGGGAGGCCAGAAAGGAAAACCCAATATTTGCACCTAGTTGAGTATTAGATAAAAATGAGTTTCTGAGAGGAAGGCTATGGGATGGAAAAAGCACTTCAAATACTAAATTAAAACATGACAAAATAAAAAGCCACACAGGCAATATACAATACAATCTGAATTAGGCTTTGGGGTTGAAAATTTTTAACACTTGAAAATTTAATCACCTAATCATGTAGTCAAAGAATTTATTTTTTAAAATTATTTTTAAATTCCCCAAATTGATATTCATTTAGTATAGGCTTAGGATTCTTTTGAAGGTACTGTTTTGATTTTTTAAAAATAAAAACCTTAGTATACATTTGTTTTAAAAAGTAACATAAAGTACTTTTCCCAAGAGAAACTCTGGCTTGTTTGTGTGAGAATATACAAAGGGGTCTATTATCAATAAAATTGTGCATGATCATCAGAATGGTAAAGTAATCTTTTTAAACTGAGTGCATATCCTAATCCTATTGTATGAATTAGAGGAATACAATCTTTGAAGTATTGTTAGGGAGGTCATCTTGACTAAATTGAACTTGACAGTGTTTCTTTCTCTAGTTCCAATGTGCTGAGACTTGGAGCCCCATATAGAATCATAGAGAATACTGGTTTAAATATGATTTGATAAGTACATTCCAGTATTAGATAAAGCGACTCTTGGCAATGAAAACTGCATTGAGTAACCATCTAACATTTCCTCTGTGTGTGTGTGTGAGCGAGTGTGTGTGCGTGCACATTGACACATGTGTGCACATGTGATAGGAGTTTGTTGGGGTTTCACATCATTTTATATTTAAGAGAGTTTGGCACGAATATCTAAGGAGGTAGATACCTATTTTGCAAATGCATGCTGGAAATCTGTAGCTTTGCTGCTTGGGCCCTGCATGATCCCAGAAGAGCCAATGATGTGGACTAGAGTTTGAAAGGCACCTCTTTGGTTAGGCAAAGTACAACTTAGCCTGAAAAGCAGTCTTATTGTGGATTCAAGCTGTTCTGCATAGATGGGCTTCTCAGAAAGCAGAAATTTGTCCACTTTAGTATACAAATGGGAAATGCCCATGTGTATATATGTTGCTATGGTTTGG